TTTGGGATAGAGTATGTAAAATCACAAAAATTGGTCTTGGATAGGAAAAGGATTTTGAAGCCGTCAAGTTGAAATTAAGTTGCAATCGATTCTTATATCATATCATATTCACTTATTCAGGAATAAGTGAATATGATATAAACGACTATATTTCCGTTAACAAAAGAGGAAAAGCAAAAGTTTATTTCATGCGAGGTTCAAACCCATGGTTCGTACTTCGACACCGCGAGTTCATTATTGAAAGAATTGCTCCAGGGTGGACTGTGATTAGTGTGGACGGAATTGAAGGCCTATGATAAACAAATTTTGAGATTCAAATTATCCGCCATAGTTTGGGTGCTGCTTACATATGGAAGGTGCTTGTTGTGTATGGCCTAAATGGCATTTACGGCAATATTTCACGGTCAGTGTTTTCATTGTTTTTGTATGTATGAAAGGCCAGCCCTAAACGCCACACAAGTAAATAGCGTTTATGAGAGTTTGCGTACGTCGCTGAAGTGCGGTGGTGTCCGTAGCATAGCCTTTGTTAGCAGGGAAGCGCGGGTAGGGCCAAAGAGCATTTTGTATATGAGTCATTACTAAATTGGTTATAGAGATTTATCAATAACTACTCTATTTTTGACGACACATACGTGCACAGGCCAGCAATAACGCTTTGAATATTTCTGTACGAATGGATGACATTGTTCGCACCATGAAACAAAGGTCATCAAAATCCATTGTCATGCATCTTATCATTAGCATGTTAAAACACAACCTCTGTCTTTTGGAGTGAAAAACAGAGGATACAGAAAAACTCTAATAGATCAAGTGAGGATTTTGACCATGCTTTTTGGTAGTCAAACTCACAAGAGGAATCGAAGAAGTCACATAATTCCCGTTGAATTTTATTTTTTTTTTAAACTTGACGAATCATTATTTGCAAAGGTTAGATACCACAAAAAGGAGTTATCTGGCCAGTTTTGAAGGATTTAGTTGACATAGGGAATTAAATACATTTTTCCATATACAATTCAAGCGATTTTTTCCAGTGATGTCATCAAGCAATAGMCCTTTTCGCGGGTATAAATCAAATTGCGTAGGGTGCCTGTGGTTCTGCACCAAAGCGAGGCAGAATCGGTAACAACCAAAGCATATTCCCTTTTGAGCTTGTTTAACCTTTTGCAATGTTTCCAAAACTGTTTTTGTTGGTAACTGAAGTCATGGTTTTGAGATGACTTGGCACTCTTGTTCGTATGAGGGCTCGGTTTTTCCGCGCTTTGAGTTTTAACATTGCTTTCTTTCGCTATGACGACGTCACGCCATGTTTGCAAATAGGATAGAATCGCTCAAAACATCGTAAGAATTTCAAATAAATCTTCTTTTTCTCCAAAACTGAACTTCGCATTTTCTAGTTTTTGTAATAATGAAATGCATGCAAAAAAATGCAATTAATCATATTTTTGTGATCTTTTTTATCAACCATAATTCTTAGCGTTTAAACAATATATTATTGTGCTGTGACGTCATAATGAGATAAGGCGACAGTCATGAAAATTAAAAAAGTTGGAGAGGATAAAAATTGAAAGCAACACCATATTTGTGGTTACTTTTTATTGTGAATAATAGAGGTAAATAAGCCTGTGAAACAAAATCTAACTATTAAAGCGTGGTGGACAAAGCGTGGAGTCAAACGAAAACAATGCAATTMRAGTGTACTAAGGAGTATTAGTGTAATATCTATTTCACGGGTTTTTGGCCTTCAATCTATACATTACGCGTACTTACAGTGTGTGTGCTYAGGCAATACTTAGAGTCAAAAAATCCGTGAAATAGATATTACACTAATAAACTTAGTCTAAACTCCTTTGCTTCCTTTTGTTTCTATTTAATTGACTATCACACTTAAATAGTCAAATTTTGATGCAAAAATTGCAATAATAGTGACACACGAAATGGTCTTTTACGGGTTGGGGTTCACCAACCAATTTAGAATTAGGTTTGAATGTATAATGTTTACTATTGAAATAGCTTGAATGGAACTGTACAATGCCAACAAGCTGTAATCATTTGATCACCTTCATTGATGTGACCTTTCAAATCTATTTATGTCAAAGAATAAAACTATAGATCCTCTAAATCAACTATGTTCCAACAATGTTGAAAAACAAACGCAATTCTAAGAAAGCACTTTACGCGCCTTGTCAATGTACTCCGACGACTTATCATAAGAGTAGTAAGTTCCAATATGGATATATGATAGATTTTAAGCCTCATAGGTGCCCCCCCTTTCCCCCTTTCAATGTTGCTTCTAATGAATGTGTGATTGTCATGTATTTCCTAAGACAAAAGAGAAGTAAGTTCCAATATGGATAAACTACAATAAAATCCAATGTAAAAAGTGCGTCTTATGTACATTTTTGAGTAATATTTAGTTCCACCTGTACATCAAGGTATTACTATCTCTTCCTATAAAACTACAGTCACTGATCCCATGTCATGTACGCTGACCAGTTGAAAAGACATCAAGACAACAAAGTCCTGTTTTTGAAATTCRTGGGAAATAATTAATTCAATTTAATACTCCAGATACCTAGAATATCACATGTTATATGCATTGTAGTGATATGTTGTTGGTTAATATTGAATATTCTTGCAAAACATTAAAAATTAACATAGAATATCAAATGACTTTGCTATGAACTTGATGTCTTTACATCTCTGAACTACTTTAACGGGATTGACTGCCATGTAAAACTACAAAACTACAATAAATGTCATTACCTATAAATCACGATATATAAAATGTAATGTCAATCAGTCTGTAATAAAATCAATAACTATACAGTCTGCTGTGCATAACTGGGTTCCATAATTGGTCCGTAGCGAGGACAAAATCCATCATCACCAAAGAAGCAAGAAACGCTGTGGTAGTCTTTTCACCAGCAAAGTTTCAGACATGTTCTGTACTCTGTTAAACACGAAATGCTAGATTAAGATTTATGATACTTTACAACTGACAATGTCACTCACGTTTTCTGAATACTCGAGAAGAAGATGTATATAAAACGCATTTTGGGGTCGGAATTCAAAAGAAATCTTTTTTTTTCTCTCGTATAACGTTATATTAGACACTTTGCAGTTCATTGGAATTCAGCTTCAACTCGAGGGCAAACAATGGTTTTTAACGAGTTCCCAAGAGGGCAGACATCATTTGTTTTGTCCTCCAGATGAAGATGTTTTTACGTCACATGCAAGTGGTCAACAACTCGAATCATCATCGTATTTCRAGACGAAACAACAAAATTATCAAGCAGTACCCAGTTCAGTACGGGCTACTGTTCAAGATATAGAGGCACTAGTGTTTAAGTTAAGATGGAGTATTTTTAGTGACATTCAGTATGTTGAAGGAATGGAGTCCTTCTTCATTCTATCTGGTACCGGTTATTTTCATTTGTTGGCTACACTCAATACACACAGTATACTTACCATTGTATGTGAAGAGTGTTCCTGTCAGTCATTTGCCAAGACATGTTTGATTTCCTCTCTCGATTTGTCCCATCCGTGTGCAGTCACAGCTTTGAACACCTCTATCACGAGATTTGGAAATTCTTCCAGAAATACAGCATCGAGAATTTGTGCCTGGAKTGCGGGTGTTCGACTTGCTACATGAGCGATGGCATTGCGAATGAATCGAACCAGCTCTACTGCAGAACCGATGTCGTATTTTCTAGTTGTAACGTTGTAAGGCTTTCCTTTTTTATCATGTTTGACTATTGGCTTTTGCGTCTCAATGAAAATCGCCGATGTCTGCGTGTACCGTGGATCATCCCACTTGCCAAACTCCACTATCGTTGCAAACTCTTTCTCTAGATCCTTCTCGACATCGGACCGTAATGGTGGAGCAGGCCTTTTATTACGTGGACATTCGAATTCGTCTTGGTTACCAACAGCGCTGAGGAAATCAAGCTTCTTCTTCTTTGACCAGAACATTGGATGGTGTAACAACATTGATGCGGTCGGTCTTTCTTTCTCGTTGGTACAATTAAGCATTCCTGTAATAACATGGGATGATTCCGGATCAAGATCGCTGTCCCATCCTTCCATGTTATTATTCAAGATGTTATTTTCTGTTTTAGTTATGATTTCCAGCTCACTTTTGTCAGTGCAGTCCGCTGGACTGAATGGATGTCTGTGATCTTTTGACAAGATATAATGAAAAACAAGACCACAAGAAAAGACATCCGATAACGTGGAATGATCATGAGTGGTAGATTTTGTAACCTCCGGCGCAATCCACCCACGAGTCCCGACTCCGGGGGCCATAACAGTAAAGGAAGCATTGACGTCTATACGACAGCTCAAACCAAAGTCAGCAATTTTTAGACAAAGTTTGGGGTAGTTGTAAAGAATGTTGTTTGGTTTGAGATCGCGATGAATGACATTTTCATCATGAAGGTACTTTAAACCTTGTACCACATCTCGGCAGAGCTCTTTGGTTTCCCTCGATCGGTTGTTAAAAGCACTGGCAAAATATTCGATCAGATTTCCTTCCATCAATTCCATGATTATAAACGAATAGTCAGCGATTTGAAAAAAAGTTAAATAACGAACAATATGCTCGCATTTAGAAAGAGAAGCTAAGGTTCTAATCTCTCGAATATCTTTTTTTGTATGCTGTTGTGAATGCCGGACTTTCTTAACAGCTACTTCCATTCTGTCTTTTTCATGAATGCCTACAAACACTTGTCCAAATGATCCATGTCCGATTTCCGTCCTGTGGTACCAATATGGTCCCTCCATATTACAGTTGAGCCTTCTTGCAACTTCAGCTAACTGGTTCTTGTGTTTCTGAGAGACAGATGTCCAGGGTATGACTAAAGGTCTTTCTTCCATAGAGACAGGCGTAGAAAGTAGAGCCTTTAGAGGTGGACATCCTTCAGCAACATCCAGGCAAGATTCACCGGGTGCACCGTAGCGTAGAAGTTGTTTAACAATTTCATAATGAACAGAGTCAAATTCCGTTGTTTCTGCGTGCTTTAGTGTAGCATAGTAATCAATGATATTCATGCAGCAGCTTCGAAGTGCTGAGCTCACATCTAATGAACGTCTTGTGGATTTGAGCAATTTGTCAACTAGAATACTTTTCCAGGTTGTTTGAGTGGAGGCATCTTTGCAGATTGCATTCAGTACTCCTACCAAAGTTTCATCCAATAGACTTTGGCATTTCTCACATGTAATTTTAATCAAACCATCAGCTAGCTCAAAAGAGTTTTCCTTTATAAGAATACTAATGATAGAATCTCCATTCCTGTCGCAAGTCCACAAATCAAAACCCATGTCCAGAACTGTTTCCCAAAACGTCGGTGCTTCATCTGGTGAAACGTCCGGATAAAAACAGCCGGGATTCTCAAGAAATAGACAATTCTTTGCTGCTGAAAGTAAAGGCGATCGTCCTAATGCGTCTTCATCATTAGTCTTTGCTCCTGCTTTAAACAATAGCTTAACGGCAGTCCAGGTTCTGCACATATGAAGAGGAGTTTCCTTCTTCAGATTTGTTGCATGATGCACAGCACCACAACTCAAAAGCAGGTCAAGTATCTTTTCTGAAGGTCCCTGCCACCTCAATATCTCAGAAGTATCAAGATTCTGTTTCCCTGCTTTTGATCCGGCCGCCCAAACATGAAGAGGAGTATTCATTTCATCGTTAGTACTGTTAACAATACGGCTGAGTTCGCGTTGTTGTTGAGAAAACAATCGTAATATTTCCATTATGCATCGCTCTAAAGATTCCTCGTTACTATCTCCGACAATTGAAAGCTTGATTAAGAGATGAAATACTGAATCGCCGGTTTGAGATGTTTCCGTTAATATCGCTCTGTCTCTTTCAAGAAAAAAAATGCACATATCTAAAATCAATTCTTTATTAAGCCTTCCCTCATCATGGTTAACAGCTTTTGTTAGCATAAGGAAAAGGGGTATTTCCTTCTCGCCGTTTTTCTTGTTGATTTTCAGTCCCTTTTTCTCCAAAGAAAAAAGAACATCAAAAAAACTTTTAGCTTCAACAGTGTTATCATGCATCCCTAGTAAAGTGATGTGGTGTGCAATGGTGTTGCCGTGCTCATCACAAGTATTTGGATCCGCACCAAGTTCCAGAAGTTTATCGAGCCTTATTGATAAATCAGGTACTGACACAGAATATTCGTCTCTTTTAATCGAAACCACCAGGTCTTGCAATAATCTGCATTTATTATCTTTCCTGAAGCTTAGTGTTTCCTTTGATAGTTTGATAGCATAAGTAAGACATGATATGATGGACGTTATTGAGATGGTGTTTACAGGACTTTTTAAAAGTGGAAATTTACAGAATACTGCGTTGACAATTGTATTCACTATTGTTTCTTTCTTGATGCCATTATCTTTCAAAAACGAAAACTGTTTATCCATTCTTTCTACATAGGGTCCTCCCATCCAGTGATGAATGAAATACGATAACACACTGACATTATAGTTGTCGGTCAAGTGAAGATTTGCACCATTTTCTACGAGATATCGAGCAGATGAGATGGATTGGACCAGCGCATAAAACAACACTGTTCGGCCTTGATCATTCCTTACTTCAACGGAAGCTTTGCCTCGTTCTATTAATTCTTTAACGGACGCTTTATTCCTCACATTGTACATCAAAGCTGTATTACCATTGTTATCGGTCTTGTTTACGTCAGCACCAGCACTAATCAGTTTATGAGTCAATATTCCGGCATCGTAAGGCTTATTGAAGTATGTTAAGCGAGTATACATAAAGGCTGCTCTTCCTTTTTTATTCGTCTTGCTTTCTCTGAAAGCAGCTTTCATTAATGCTGTTTGGCCTTGATTGTCGACAGTATTTATATCTAGATCTTTGCTGTTCTCTATTATTGCAAGTGCGGTGTTTTTATTTGCGTTAGCTATAGCATACATCAATGCTGTTTGGCCTTCTTTATCCTTTATGTTAACGTCAGCACCACGTGTGATTAGTGCATCGGCAATTGTCGCCATTCCTTTGACTGCAGCTTTCATCAATGCTGTTTGGCCTTGATTGTCGACAGTATCTAAATTTAGATCTTTGCTGTTCTCCATTATTATTGCAAGTGCGGTGTTTTCATTTGGGTAAGCTATGGCATTCATCAATGGTGTTTTGCCTTCTTTATCTTTTATGTTGACGTCAGCACCACGTGTGATTAGTGCATCGGCAATTGTCGTCATTCCTTTGACAGCAGCTTTCATCAATGCTGTTTGGCCTTGATTGTCGACAGTATTTATATCTAGATCTTTGCAGTTCTCTATTATTGCAAGTGCGGTGTTTTTATTTGCGTTAGCTATAGCATACATCAATGCTGTTTGGCCTTCTTTATCCTTTATGTTGACGTCAGCACCACGTGTAGTTAGTGCATCGGCAATTGTCGTCATTCCTCTGAAAGCAGCTTTCATTAATGCAGTTTCGCCTTCGTTGTCGACGGTATTTAGACTGAATTCGTTACTAGTTTCATGATTGATTAGTTCAGCAGTTATGGAATCTCTTTTATAATGTACTGCGTGCATTAATGCCGTTTTACCTTCTTTGTCCTTGTGGTTGACATTTGCACCATATCTGATCAGTGCCTGTATAACTCTCGTCTTTCCATGTATAGCAGCTTTCATTAATGCTGTTTGACCTTGATTATCGACAGAATTTGAATCTAGATCTTTGCTGTGTTTAAGTATTTCAAAAGCAGTGTCTTCGTCTCTATGAGTAATAGCATGCATCAAAGCTGTTTTGCATTCTTCATCCTTTATGTCGACGTCAGCACCACGTGTGATTAGTGCATCGGCAATTATCGTCATTCCTTTGACTGCAGCTTTCATCAATGATGTTTGACCTTGATTATCGACAGTATTTATATCTAGATCTTTGCTGTTCTCCATTATGGCATGTGCGGTGTTTTCATTATCGTAATCTATGGCATACATCAATGCTGTTTGGCCTTTTTTGTCCTTGATGTTGACATCAGCACCACATTTGATAAGTGCATCGGCAATTGTCGTCATTCCTCTGAAAGCAGCTTTCATCAATGCTGTTTGGCCTTGATTGTCGACAGTATTTATATCTAGATCTTTGCTGTTCTCTATTATTGCAAATGCGGTGCTGTCATTTTTGTAAGCTATAGAATACATCAATGCTGTTTCTCCTTCTTTATCCTTGACGTTGACATCAGCACCACGTTTGATTAGTGCCAGAGCAAATGTCGTCATTCCTCGACTGAAAGCAGCTTTCATCAATGCTGTTTGGCCTTCTTTATCTTTTATGTTGACGTCAGCACAACGTGTGATTAGTGCATCGGCAATTGTCTTCATTTCCGTGAAAACAGCTTTCATCAATGCTGTTTGGCCTTGATTGTCGACAGTATTTATAACTAGATCTTTGCAGTTCTCCATTATTGCAAGTGCGGTGTTTTCATTTTCGTAATCTATGGCATACATCAATGCAGTTTCGCCTTGATTATCGACAGCATTTGAATCTAGATCTTTGCTGTGCTTAATTATTGCAAGTGCAATGTCTTCACTTTTCTGAGCTATAGCATGCATCAGTGCTGTTTTGCCTTCTTTATCTTTCATGTTGATATCAGATCCACCGTTGATTAAAGCAATCGCCATTTCGGGTATAGAATAGCGACAGTGTTGCGCGAGTATCATTAATGCTGTTTGATCGTTTTCATTTACTGCGTTGACGCAAGCCCCACCTTCTATAAGTCGATGGACTTGTTCTAAGTCTCCATCTCTTGCAGCTTTTATCAATGATATTCCAGCAGAATCTACACCCGCCATGGTGCAACGCTATAGTTTTATTTCTGAAATATCAGTTAGTTTGATATGAAGTGTTAAGGTTTTGTCGGTTGTACATACATTCCTCATAACAGACCATGGTGAGGTCTGTACCTCTATTTCTTTGTGTGAAAGGACAGTTTATTTAATTCGAATGCCGAAGGCTCGTCTTGTCGGCATGACCATTTTCATAGGCATTGCATGAAACCGTTACCCAACTTCATCTTTGAATATTATTCACATTCAAAGCTATACAAGTTGTGATCAATGTCTTGTTTTTCGTGGCAACAGCGATTTTGATTGGATTGGCGCCGTGTCTTTATTATAATAAGCTGCAACAAACATGCATTTACTTATTGTCGAATTTTGCCACACTTATTTTTCTTTTGCATTTCCTAATCCACCCATTTGTTATTTACGTTTTTGTTTTATATTTGCTTGTAATGTTTGTTTTTCACGTTTCTTAAATGCAGCAAACCTGCATAATGTTTGGCTAAAAAAGGTTTGTTTATAGCTCAATGACAATTGTTTACATACGTAAAATATTTTTGACATTACGCACGATAAGCATCATTGCATTAAATTCTTCATCTACTGAACATAAACAACTATATACTAAAAAATGGAAATCTCGATTTTATGACATTTTTCACATCAAAAACAGGTACTGGTTCTTTCTTGGTTTCAGTTCCTTACTTATCACATGCTATATCATGAAATTGATATTTTTCCAGAGATGAGAAATTTGCGATAAATATTCGTCTAGGAAAAGACGTCTGAAACAACGGTTTTAGAGTGCGAAATATCCAGAAAATCCGAAATATCTCATATCCTCTATTATAACTAACGAGTTAGGTTAATGTTAGGTATTGATAAATAACGAGTTAGCTAATGTTAGGTATTGATAAATCCTTTCAAAACTAGTAGAATACTAAATGACAAATTCCGTCTATATATTTGTAAACAAATCAATATTTTTACCCTTTAATTCCTCTCTACATCTTGAATATTCTTGTTGAGTTTACTGTAAAAAATAAAAGTTTAATTTAAAAGTGCAATACCACAGTGAATATACGTACACGATATAGAAATGAAAGAAAGTTATAGTGCTTAGAAGGAGGCAATTCCGGGAGAAGTCCCTTAGGAATAAATTCGGAAAAATTAATTTCCGACCTCGCTGGGATTCGAACCCACGACCTTCGGATTTGTACACCGATGCTCTACCAGCTGAGCTACAAGGCCAGACTGGGAGCAGGTCGGGGTGAAATAGATGTTAAGGTTGCGGTAATAGAATAATGTAAAGATATGAATATGAAGACCGCATGGCACTATGATAAACACGATATAGAAATGAAAGAAAGTTATAGTGCTTAGAAGGAGGCAATATACGTACAGTTGGATACAGATGTGATAGCCACTGTTATCTGGAACCATTAATCGATTCTGCAAGCAGACCTACTAGATCTACTATACGTCAATTTTGCTTATGAAAAAAACAACACACTTGCATTGCTGATTTGCTTCCTGGATTTATTGTGACTTGAAATTAATGCATTTTAATTTAGATATTTTTGTTTGTAAAGCATACATATTAGTAATGGCCGAAGACTTTTTTATTGCATTACATTCATTTTCATACAAACTGCCTGATAAAACAAGGAATGTGAAAACTGCTTATGTTCCATCTGAGCGTTGCTTGTCTTCACTGTTGCTTGCAATTGTGACAAGGACCTAGTGAGGTACAGTGAACTATATGGTTGTAGCATTTGGACAATTTCTGCACTGTCCATCGAACATGTGTATTTAAATTGCTTACAATTGCTTCCTTACCTTTTGTCAACTGTGCATCAAACGATATTTTTTGGGGGGGTCTGTTTGGCAATTAGATTTCGTAGATGAGCCTCCTGAATGAAATCAAGAAATTAAATGTTTGTTTAGTTAAGTTTTTGTTAAGTGAACAGTCAAGGCACTGAATCCTTTCTTACCTTCCAATCTTTTCAAGTTGATCTTTGGAAAATTGATCACAACGCACTAGATTACTGCAGTATCATGTGGTGACAATCTGGAAAGAAAATTTGCAAGTTAGACTCAATACCTACGCAAAACCTACAAAGTCACTTGAAAGTACTTCCATATAACTCATTCAGATTGCGCTCGAACAGGATGTGAAACATTTAACTGTCTCAATCAACAACAAAACCTTCAGATGAATCACGCACAACCGTTTCAAACTATCCAAGGTACCTTACCTTTTAGCTTTGGTGCTCGCTGCTCGATCTTCAGTAGAAAGTGTGAAGGAAGCAAACGACGACGATGTCTGCAGGGGTTCTTTGATCACTGAACCGTGATACAATATAAGGGCTTGGAATGTTCTATAAGATTTTATTAAGGAGAGAAGGACACACTCTCAAGAGCTCAAGAGAAATACTAATTCGTTCAAAGTCCATTTCTGTCCATCACTAGATATACTGGTAAACTTATTGGGCAATAAAAAAGATCATAGCACGTTTTATTAGAATAACAAGTCTTGCAGAGAATAGCTCAACCGTGTTGTCTTGTCAAATTAGCAATTTTAAAACAGGTCACATGCAGCATGTTTGTCTATATCAAACTTTGAGCCTCACGGGAGGTATTTCATGAACAAAGGGTTCTGATATGAGGGAAATTTCCCTATAACTTATATTCTTTCAACGATGTTGGATCAATATTCTGTTATTTGTCTATGAAAAAAAGGAAAAGTTGATAAATTGAGCTTTTTTTACAAACTTGGTCACTACTATGAATTTTCCGCCATTTTGTTTTTGACTACGGTAAGCCGCTGACCGTAATACGAAGACGCGAGCCAATTTCCCGAGCGATGCACGTAGGAAGACAGTTGTTACGCCTGTGATCACTATAAACGGCGCCAGTCAGGGAAAAAACTGAGCAGAATGTCGGACAGAGCGTTTTATTGCGAAAACATGTACAGGAGTATTTTGGTAAGCGTCGTATAACTATCACATGAGGGAACGCTTCATTGATGCACAGCCAAGGACACTTTATTTACTTCAAATTATCGAAGTTTTTAGAAACTATACTGCAAACGTCAGTCCCATCATTAGCGTCTGATGATATACTGACTTGTATGTAGACAATTTGTAAATTTATCGAAAGATAATCAGCTTTTTACATGGCGATTTATGTAGACGTGTTTACTTCAGTGTTGTCATAATAAGCCTCGTCGCCGAGGGAGCTATTTCATCGAACAAAGGGTTCTTCCAGTCTACTAGTCAAGGGAATTTTCCCTAATCAAATTGCATAACTTGATATGTAAACAATATCTGAGAATGAAAAGAAAAGAAAAAAAAATGAGAAAAGGTGGAAATAATATGAACTATTTTCCCTATTTTACAGATTTTTCTTATCCTCTTTGTTATTTATTTTCTGTTACTAATAT